TGCTCTGAGCCTGACCAGGGGCTGCACCTAGGGATTGGGCCTGCCCTCTGCCACCCGGGAGCAGGCCTAAGCCAGCAGGTCATTATCTCCCGAGGGGTCCCAGACTGCGAGAGGGCACAGGCTGGGCTGAGGGACACCCCCTCCCCACCGAGTGCACAAATTTTTATGCACCGGGCCTCTAGTATACCTATAATCACCGGGACTCATGTGTCAAGAGATGGGTAACCCCCGAGTTAAAACATTCTGAAGTCTATATTATTTGAGAAAAGTTGAAAAAAGCATTGCTGACTCTAGACTCTGTGATGTTAGGTGCCCATGACCAAATATCTAGGATAACCACTAAATAATAGAATGTATAACATCCAAACTAGTAAAAGCAGAAAATATACATGGATATATTAATAGATACAGTCACTGTACGTGGACTAACTCTTGGTTAAAGACAAAGTTAGTTAGCCTCGTTTGAAAAACAGATTACACTCTATTTATAAGAGATATAACTAATCTGAACACAGAATGTTTGAAAGTAAAAGGAGCAAACGGGTAAAAAAAACTTAAATATTAATCAGATATTTTTATCGTAGAGCCATAAAGTGTTACTACATATTTATAAATGGTTTATGTCATTTAATCTATTACTTAATAGATTAAATAATTCCATCCTAAATGCATAAAAATCAATAGTACTGCAAAGAACATTAACAAATTCACAATATAATGAACAAGCTTGACATAATGGATTTACAAAGAACGATTGAAGGATATACACCCTTTCAAGCATATGGGGCATTTATAAAAATTGATCGCATACTTAGCCATGTGTGAATCTCATAAAATTAGAACAGTTGCTTCATAAACACTATAATAACAAAGAAATCAAACTGTTGACTGATATCAGAAACATAACTGAATACCCATATACATTTGAAATTTTAAATCATACTTCTAAATAAAATAACCCATGGGCCAGAGTAAACTAGAACGAAACTAAAAACAAAAATCCACGTTGCAATAGCACTTGCAGTAATTAAGACAGACACAATAAAGTACATCCTGGCTGGTGGGTCAGTTGGAGGTTTCGGGTTCGATTCTCAGGTTGTCCATCTCTCTCTTCCTCTCTCTCTCCAAAAATCAGTAGAAACAGATTTTTGGGTGAGGATTAAATAATAATAACTTAAAAAAATTTTAATCATAGGGGATAAAAAGCGAAGCAGCGAGATACCATTTTTCATGTTAGATCGGCAAGAATGAAAAAGATTGAAAAACTAATAATAGGGATTTATGTACATAGGGGTTTGTCCAGATTTTTCTCCATCCTTCATATTGTCATTCAATTTAGCTTATGGTCTTTCTTTTTTTATTTTTTTTGCCATGCACAAAATTTGATGATTTGTAGTAATAATTGTTACTTCTTGCAGTTTTTATGAGACTTGGTTATATTACTTTCATCTGCTGTTAACAGTGTGACAATATATTCTCTATTCTTTGATCCAGTAATTCCACTTCTAAGAATTTGTCATGAGGTATAAAATGATATATATACTTGAGACTGTTCTTTATAGCCTTGTTAATATTCTTGAAAAACTGGGCAAATTTCTAGGAGTAGAGGAATAAAGGGCTTGTTAAAGAGACTGCGGTGTGTGTATACTTATATAGGTATAGTTCAAAAGATTATGTAGTACAAGACTACCCTTTTAAGTTATATATACATTAATATTTACGTAGAAATATATGCATGACATACTGAGTGGGACAAGCAGGATATGTGTAAACTGTGTACCTCGCAGATGTAAGCAGTAACTTGTTAATAGTTGCACAGACTGTAGCCCATATCCCTGGAGAAGTGTGGTCTGAGGCACCTGTGCTGTAAAATAAAAAGCGCTAAAATGGAATTGGGGGGGGGGGCTGTTTTAGTCACGGTCTGAGGCACCTGTGCTGTAAAATAAAAAGCACTAAAATGGAATTGGGGGGGGCTGTTTTAGTCACTCTTTGGCTGCTCTTGACAGATTTCTTTACAAACCAGGGCCTCCTTCTTTAAAAATGAGGGAAGGGCGGTGGGCGTGGGACTTCATTAGCCATGACAAATTGGCCACAATGGTTGTCGCATCCTCTTCTGCAACCACAGCTGATGCTGGTCGTCAGTCTTCGTGTTCTTTCTCTGGGCTCAGCTACGCCGTGGAATTCTCAGCACCGAAAAGGGCTTTAGGCAACCTTTTCCGAGCAGGTTGTCCTTTACATTTGAGACTTCTTTCTCATCCTTGGATAAGATGATCTTAGAAATCTTTTCAGCTAAAAGAATGTTTTTGACCAAGGAACTAAGTTATTGTGGCAAGAAATAACAGGGATTATCTTTCAGGGGGAAAAAGTTTACTTTTCTAGAAGACACATTTTTTAATGCAGTAAAATGATGAAATAACTTTTGATAACATATTTTACTAAATAAGATATTTCAACATGTCATTGTTATAAAACAATTGTTAATGCGATATTTCATGTTCTTGGTATTTCATATAAAATCTTTCTGAAATACAGTGTGTATTTTCAGCAATCCAATTTTAGGTGATAAATTCCCATTGGAGATACTTGATCTGTATTTAAATTTATAGTTAAAAAAGTAGAGTCTCATACTAACATTCTTGAGTTTTCTAAGAATTGAGTTGAGGACTAGTTTTTAATCCAGTTAAAATGAAATTAAATTAAAGATTAAGATAAAGTCAAACTGAGGGAAGGGTGGTGGGTGTGGGACATTTCAAGTACCCAATGGCCACATGTGGCTGGGGGTTACCTTATTGACAGTGGTACTTTAGAGAATACAAAGAAATGTACAATCTGGTAGCCTTCAAGGAAATTTTCTAGTTAGGAAAGCAAGATATCAAAAATAAACATATCAGGAATCTAATCCAAAGCAGAATGTAAGTAAGTGCTAAACATTTTCTGCAGGCAGATTAAGTACTACTTGGGTAGGACGTTGCAGGAAAACCCCAGCTTGGTACATTCCTCAGCACTTTGGAGCCTGAGTGGTAGCTGTGATGTGTGGACTTTGTAAGAATGGAGTGTCTTACTTAGAAAGTGTGTGTGTTCTCCCTGCAGGCATGGGACCCGCTGTGCTGGAGAAGTGGCAGCCGCAGCAAACAACTCTCACTGCACAGTCGGAATTGCTTTCAATGCCAAGATCGGAGGTATGGGAAACAAACTTATGTGGCTGTAGAAGTGAGCCAAGAGCTCTCGTGCTAACTGATTTTCAGAGCCCCTTTTTGAACAGGCATATGTTTGCATAATAATGTTCAACTGTTGCTGACAGCAAAATGACCATGTTAACATGTGTTACTGCATACAGTTAAAGACTTCAGAAGCTGCCCCCCCAACGTATTGTCCAATACGTTAAACAAGGTTGTCCAGTACTGAAAATGGTGTCATTGACATCTGTAAAGAACTATACAACCGGTGCTTGAGTCAGAAAGAACTAATAATAGAAACACCAGGCCAGGCTATAATATCTCTGTGGGAAGAATAATTTGAAATTATGTGAAAGCAGAGTGTCTATTCTTTCCCTCTTCTTTAGGCTTTATAAACACGGCCTTTTAATTGCAATGAAAATGGTAAATGGCAAAAACTCCTTTTGCAGTTCCATAATGTAGTAAGACTGTTCTCACGAATAATTTCATAGTATATGCACACACATGCACTAGCCCAAATATACATAAGCTTACTACAAGGATCCAAGCACAGCAGTTTAAATCCAGGCATTAATAAAAGCAACCACTTAACTTTTTCCACTTGTAGTCACCATTGTTATTATAGCCTGGTGTCACAGCTACATGCAGATGGAAGAAAACATTGTAAGAGATGGTATAGATCCTAGTTAGTGGCTTTGAAGGTGTCCCCTGGGGGGGGGGGGGTCTTAAAAGGGTGTCATGAGATAAATGGAACCAGGATGACATCTTTGTTTCCAATACACTATTTGTTTCTGAATGGTAAAGAAGGTTGGACCTAAAAAAATAAAAACAACAGTTCTTTCTAGGATAAAGATAGAGGTCTTCTGAGGTATTTGGGATGGACAGTGACGGTGCTGAGAAAAGGCTTTCAGAGACTACCTTGAATGTCAGCCCTCAGTAAATTGGACCCGTCCCTTTCCCGTTTCACACTGAATTCCTAGAGCGTGGTAGCACGTGAGGCAGCAGTTAGAGGACCCTGAGAGCCTCTGCTATGTGTCAGAGGGAAGACAGGTTCAAGGAGGAGCTAGGAGAGGAGACACAGACTTCCCCTGAAGAATCCTGAAGGTTCGGGAGGCCCCTGCTCTTCTCATGAGAATCGCATGACTCCAGGGGCTGCCCGGTTCATCCTCCTTGCTCTCCAGGCCACACACAGCTCTTACATGCACAGACACACGCCCTCGTCCCTGTCACTGCTCTCCAGTGCTAACCAGCACTCACTGACCTTGAGGGAATGAAGAAATGAACTTGTGAACCCTCCCAGATACGCTGCTGGCTGACTCACCTGAACAAGGACCCTCAGTAAAAAAAGGAATGTATGGTGGCCGGCCACCATGGCTCATTGTTTGAGCATCGACCTATGAACCAGGAGGTCACAGTTTGATTCCCAGTCAGGGCACATGCCTGGGTTGCGGGCTTGATCCCAGTGTGGGGCGTGCAGGAGCAGCCGATCAATGATTTTCTCTCATCAGTGATGTGTCTATCTCTCTCCCTCTCCCTTCCTTTCTGAAATCAATAAAAAAAAATACATGTTTTTTAAAAAAGGAATGTATGGCAATGACTCACAAATGTCCCATCATCCTGAAAACAGGACCGTTTTGAATTATAAATTGAAACCCTACATCCAAGGAATGAAGGCTTGCAGTCAAATGAAGAAAAAGCAATCTTTCCTCCTTAAACTTGAAGACACAGAATTCTTATTTGTCAGTTTTTGATCAAGAAATTAATATTACCCTATAGATATTATTTTATCCTACATTTAGTGTGCACACACACATGGACTTCACACACTCCTGCATGTTGGCATTTAGAAATCCTGGTTAGTCCAGTGTTAATTTCAGACCTCCTCATATCGGTAAAATCATTTCATTGTATGCTTTTACACAGATAGTAAGAATATGAAGTAGTTCATCTTTCTTTCGTAAAAACCACACAGATGAATTTTGAATATTCATGTCAAGTGAAAACCATTGGCTTCGTAGGACCCAGCCCATGCAGAGCACCATGCTGGGTAGCCTGTTCCCACGGAAACTGCGGACAGACTTTCTAAATATAGTTCCCATTTCCTAACTTTTAAAGGGACTGTTCATAACCTTTGTTCCCCACATCACTGGTTCCTTTAAAAATCCTTAAGAAGCCAAAAGTCTGGAGGAAAAGACAGTTGAGATGTAACAACCAAATGCCATGTCTTTAGGGATGCTTTGGGGAATTTTAATACTGACAGGGTATTTCTTTCTGTCTTTGGGTAAAAATATGAAAGGATAAATGTCATATTTGCCATGTAACGTAAGATGGCTCAGCTCAATATGTATATTTTTGGATGAAGAAAAAGTGGCAAAAATGTTGACAGTTGTCTACTAGTGGCTGGATCAGTAGTTACTGTCATTCTTTCTATTTTTCTGTATTTGTAAGTTTTATAGTTAAAAGTTAAACACCTTTGACAACACAAAGAAGGTACAGTTTCTTAAAGAACATTTTTATTTCCTACCACAAGTTCCACCTCAGACCCCATAGTATCTAACACTACCTGATGTGGGGTTTTGTTACTGAATGCCCATGTAGTGGTAATCAATACAAACTTGAAGCCCTACCAGATAACAGCGTTTTTCCTAAGGAGTGAATTTGGGCTGCAGAGAGATATTCTTAAAATAATACAGTGTCTCGGTGATGGTATTTGGCTTAAGCTGAAGGAGTTTTTAGCTCACAGTTATTTGTTGTGCGTCTCCAAAATACAAGGAAAGCCTGGCATATGACGTATAACTTATGTTTGAATATCTGTGTCTAGTTTCGCAAATTAAGGTTAATAATAAATTCCTATCTGTCTGGCGGGAATATACTTAAATGAAGATTAATGGCTATACATTGCTAAAACCTTGTGAGAATTATTTGATGTCTTACATGCACAGAACGCATTCTCATTTATTATTTGACTTATAAATAACTTGGCAAAGAAGTGATATATTAAATCCACATCAGTCTCTCAGATTCGGAGATAATATTAAGTATGGAGGAAACTGGACCAACCTGACTTGGCAGCTTTCCAGGTTTTGTAAGCTTGCCAAGGTCAGAGTGCTTTCTACCGATTATGAACACAAGTGATCTAATGAAGAGAAGTTAGGGAAGATGGATTCCTGGAGGCTCTCTTTGACAACCACTCGATTAAGACAAGGATAAAGAGAAGGGAGAGATGATGGAAACCTCGGAAAAAAGAACAATAGCTATGAAAGATTTTTAAAAGTTTTGCTCTTTAAAAAAATAAGTGAATAATTTTTAAACAAGAGACGTTTTGCTCTTTTACATGCACTGTAACTTACTTTCTTCCCAAGAAAGCTTTGGAAGAAATCCGAATTGTCTTCTTCTGGGGAAAATATGCTCACTCAAGTGTTGATTAAAAGATTATTCTTCCCCCGCCCCCCAAATGCTGTAACCCCGGCAAGTCTTGGGTTGTTTGGGTGTAAGCCTCTAATGAAGCTACTTCCTGTCTGTCCCCAAGGAGTCCGAATGCTGGACGGGGATGTGACAGACATGGTGGAGGCGAAGTCAGTCAGCTTCAACCCCCAGCACGTGCACATCTACAGTGCCAGCTGGGGCCCCGATGACGACGGCAAGACCGTGGACGGCCCAGCTCCACTCACCCGGCAGGCCTTTGAAAACGGCGTCAGAATGGTAGGTTTCATGCTGCGTCAGTTGGGG